AATAATTATCAATACAGAAGACTACTCAAGTAATGCGATCTAATTACTAAATGTTGCATATTTATTAATCTGATAAGTATGTATTTGTTTCCCCAAGGCATCTACATGAAAGTAAATAATAAAGTCCCTAAGAGATTATAAAAAGAGCACTTAATGCACTTAATGTTTGTCACGGATGTTTTGGCATTGTGAACTTTTTAAAATTCTGGGTGTCGTACATCAGATTCCCTAGGTAAACGAAGCCTGAGGCAGGGATTCTTGTGTGTCTTAATCCATTTAACATTGCTGTAGAGGAATAACTGAGGTGGGGTAATTTATAAAGAAAAGAGGCTTATTTGGCTTGCAATTCTGCTGGCTGAAAGATCGTTCATCTAGTGAGGACCTCAGGCCGCTTCCACTCAAAGTGGAAAGAGAAGAGAAGCCCATGTGTGCAAAGATCACATGGTGAGAGAGGAAGCAAGAGTGAGAGGGGAGGTGCCAGGCTCTTTTCACAACCAACTCTCCAAGAAACTAATAGAGGGAGAATTCACCTCACCCCTCCCTATTATGAAGTATCTGCTTGCATGACCCATATACCTCCCATTAGGCCTCCACCCCCAACATTGGGATCACATTTCAACATGAGCTTTCCAGGGGTAAACATCCAAACTATAGCATTGTGCAAGAGGCTTCTTGAAGGAAGGTTTTTAAGAGAAACCTTAAATGGAGGGTGGTAACCTGTTTGAAGTAGAAGCTGGATAGATACATGATCTCAGGAGAAGTCTAGACTCAATCTAATCCCATAGGGAGTGGGGAGCTCTGAAGGGTGAATTGCCTTATAGGGTTCATCCTTCCAGGGGAAAAAAGTGTCTGCAAAGCTGATTGAGGAGAGGGAGCTGCCTTCTATGCATTTTTCTAGAGATGTCTTCTGGTAGCCATGTTCTCTAGAGCAGATCGTAAGTGTGAGTTTATTCCTACAGTTGTGTATAGTGAACGTCTCATAAAGGAAATCCGGGCTTCTGGTAGACCAAAGCACACAATTGTGAACTGGAAACCTAGATGTATTATTGAGTCATTTCCTTGTGGCAGCATCAAATCACAGAGATTTGGACACACAGACATCCTCATGGAGAAAGTCTGTAACAGGTTTTTAAAAAACTGGTCCCATGAGGAGAAATTGGAAAGGATTTATCTCAGAATAGAAGCAGAAAAAGACTCAGTCTTTAAGTGTCTGAGGGACTGTTTTGATTGTTTTTAAAATCTCTACTGAGGACAGATTACAAAGAAATGAATTAAAATAGCAGCTGGAGGGGATTTAGATTTGGTAGTATGTAAATGTTCTTTACAATAAGCATTAGTAGAAATTGGAACATTATAAAATATCTCCATAAAGATCTCTGAGATAGAAAAAGCATTACTCTACTAAAGATGACCATCCCTCTACAGATCATGTGAGAAAGTCATAATAGGGAAAATAATGTATAAGGGAGTATTTCTCTTAAGACAGACACACACTTTATGCTTTTATACTTCTGGAATACTACAAATTTGTTTTAAAATGCATGCGTTCCCTAATGGAAATAATAAATTGCCATTCCTTCATGAAATTATAATGAAATTAAAACTTCTTGAAGCAAAGTAAAATATCAAAATGTAATGACATAATTAACACATTTTTCTGTACAATGCACTCTTAAAATTTTAGAGATCCTTTAAAATACATTGCATTTTGTAATTTGGATAAGTAGAAAACATTTAAGTGGCAAAGTTTGGATGGGGCACAGAATTAAAATCTTCATCAGAAGAAGCACATGTACTTTTAGGCCCCAATGTTGGTGGTGGAATGGACATATCACAGCAAAAAAAAATTATGATTTTTTCCCTATAACACAAAAATCTATAGTTTATAACATTTATGTCGTTTTCTTTATATCGTATATTTACATAGTTTATAGGATATATGTATATATTTATATAGTTTTCTTTTTTCTTTTTTTAATTTTTGAATTGGAGTCTCACTCTGTTGCCCAGGCTGGAGTGCAGTGGCACACTCATGTCCACCGCATCCTCAACTTGCTGGGCTCAGGTTAGGCTTCAGCCTCAGCCTTCCAAGTAGCTGGAACTACAGTCTCACGCTACCATGCCCAGCTTTTTTTTTTTAATTTATTGTAGAGATGAGGTCTCTCCTAGTTGCGCAGGCTGGTCTTGAACCCATAGGCTAAGGCAGTCCTCTCACCTCGCCCTCCCAAAGTGCTAGAATTACAGGCATGTGCCCGGCCTTATACAGTTTTCTTCCTTTCTTTTATTTTTTTAGTCAGGGTCTCACGCTGTCACCCAGGCTGGAATGATGTGGCATGATCGTGACAATCGCAGCTCACAGCATTCTCAACCTCCTGGGCTCAGGGGTTCTTCCACCTGAGCACTCAGCATCCCAAATAGCTGGGACTCTCTATAGGTATGCACCACCATACCTGGCTAATTTTTTCTTTTTTTTTAAGAGACAAGATTTCACTATGTTGCCCAGGCTGTTTTTGAACTCCTGGTCTCAAGCAATCTGTCCACTTCAAGATATGGTTTCCTTTATGTAGTATATTTACATAGTCTATAGTGAATACATAGTTTATAGTATATTTTTATCATATAAAAATCTATGATGGACTAGCTATGAATTTGTATCTTTTTTCATTAAAGATGAAGCTTATTTAGTGGCTTCTACAAGTTTTGGGTATAAACGTGGAATAGAGACCTGGAGAAAACCTGATAATCATCCCATTTTCTAAGGGGCAGATGCTTCCAGTCATGAAGGGAGAAAGCAACATTTCAGAAACCCAATATATCCAAATGGTAAGAGTCTTCTAGTACATAGCATAAATATACTCAAAGATTAAAACAATATAACCATCCCTAGTATATTAGAAAAATTAAAATAGAACTCCTACTAGCTTTCTTTGAAGCTATGATGGTGATGATCATAATATTATAATAATAACTCCATTGGTGGCTGGGTGTGGTGGCTCACTCCTGTAATCCCAGCACTTTGGGAGGCAGAGGCAAGATGATTGCCTGAGCCCACAGGTTCGAGACCAGCATGGGCAACATGGTGAGACCTCATTTCTACAATACATCAAAAAATTAGCCAGACGTGGTAGCACACACCTGTAGTTCCGGCTACTTGGAAGGCTGAGGCAGAAGGATTGCCGGAGCCCAGCAGGTCGAGGCTGCAGTGGCCATGAGTGTGCCACCGCACTCCGGTCTGGGTAACAGAGTGAGACTCCAACTCAAAACTTAAAAAAAAAAAAATTAACTGGGCTTGGTTGCGCGTGCCTGTGGTTCCAATTACACAGAAGGCTGAGGTGGAAGGATCACCTGAGTCCAGCAGGTCGAGGCTGCAGTGGCCATGAGTGTGCCACTGCACTCCAGCCTGGGTGACAGAGTGAGACTCCAACTCAAAAATAAAAAAATGAATAACTCCATTGCTTAACTACAGTGTGCTAAGAGTTTTTCTGCATTATCCTACTTACTTCTGGTAATAATTTTGAGATAGATTTATTATCATGCTTGTTTTCTGGGTAGAGAGGGTCTGGGACATGGAGGTTAAATGATTTGTTTCTGGGGCTCCCTGCTGGTATTTTGTTCTACATTCAAATTCTTCCATGGTAATCAATACTACCTACCTCCTCCCACATATATGTGTAGAAAAGAATTTCACAGGTAGAAATGACATTGAGGAAAGTTGCTTTTTTCCTAGAGGGATGTCACTGGGTGGCTTTTCTATATCTGCATAGCTCACGTAGTCGGGGATTGTCCAGTCACCATTACATGGGCTGTCAGATACAATCATCGTTGATTGTAAGTTGCTTGGTTCATGGAGCATGATTTGATCACTGTCTTAAATTCATCTTTAAACATTGCTTTACAGTAGGATCTTAATTCAGTGACAACTATTATATTGAGCAGCAGAGCTCTATTTCTGTGTTTTAGAAAAATACACCTTGACCACCTCACATGCCATTCTGAAAGATGCTTTTGCTCATTTTGCTAATTTAAATTTACTAACTTTTCTACAGCATTTCACTAGCCTTTCTTTGTTTTTTCTGCTTTGTTGTGTTTTGAATTGGGGTCTCACTCCATTGCCCAAGTTGTAGTGTGGTGTCACGATCATAGTTCACCACAGCCTCGACCTCCCCAGCTCAGGCGATCCTTCTGCCTCAACCTCAGCCTCAGTCTCGTGTAGCTGGGACTACAGGGGTGCGCCCCCATGCCCCCATATAATTTTTTTACTTTTTATAAAGACAAAGTTTCACTACGTTGCCAAAGCTGGTCTCAGACTCATGGGCTCAAGCAGTCCTCCTGCCTTGGCCTCCCTAAGAGCCGAGTTTACAGGCTTGAGCCACTGTGCCTGGTCCTTTCTGTGTTTTTCAAAAAACCAGAACCTAGTTTCTAAACCTAAACTTTCAATAACTTTGAAATTATCCCAGTTATCTTGTTATTTTCCTTTCTATCCTCAAAGGGGATAATTGTAATAAATTCCATAACATTTGTTAGGTGATAAAGTTGGGTCAGCAACTTAAAGCAGTTTTGAACAAGAAAAGCAAGTGAATTTTAAAAATCAGATTCAGGTTTGCACCCTGTTTCTATCTATTGCCTTTTCTTAAAAGAGAGCATGTATTTTTTACTTATATACTTATGAAGTTAATGAGAGGCCAAACCACAGATAATTTCTGTTTTCAAACTTGTATTTGAGCTGAGGAATGATGAGTTTTGATGCTGGAGGGGTAAAATCAAGGTTCTTTCTGAAGCATATGATACAAAGAGTTTATAATGTCTATTGATTTGATTTAGATGAAAACCCACAGGGCAGGGTATTTACCTTTCTATTGATTCTGAAAAACATATCTTTGGATGGCACTTAGTGACCAACACTGGCATGAAGAAGGTGCCCAGCATGGTGTCTCTGCTGCTTTATAGACAGCGTTTGGTCATTACTTCCCATTCAGTCTTCCCTTTCTTTCTTGCTGCAGCTCAAGGAGTATGAGGCCCAGCGCCGGCAGTCAGCTGCCCTGGATCCTGCCGACTGGCCAGACGGCTCCTACCCGACATTTGATGGCTCATCAAACTGCAATGTAAGTTTCCATTTCCTTCGGTTTCTTGACCACCTCAGCCAATAAGGGACAGCCTTCGCCATTTCAGTCTTTGAATTTCTTTTCACAACTCCCACCTGGGTCTGAAAAGAGGCACCTGTTCATGTAGGTTGCTCATTTTTCTTTACCTGGCAGAGACTCATCTCAGTCTGAATAGCATTATCATGCTGTTTTTAAAAAATTGTAGCAAAGTATGTATAACATAAAATTTACCTCATTAACCATTTTAAAGTGTTTTAAGTATGTTCACATTGCTGTGCAACCAGCATCATAATCTGCTTCCAGCTTTTCCTCATCCCAGACAGAAACTTTGTACTCATTAAACAGTAACTCCCCAACACACACAAACACACACACATTCCACTGGCAACCACCATTCTACTTTCTATCATGTAAGTGGTATTCTACAATATTTGTCCTTCTCTGTCTTATTTATTTTACCTAGCATAATGTTTTCAAGGATCATCCACATTGCAGCATGTATCAGAACTTCCTTTTTACGGATGAATAATACATAATACACATTTTGTTTATCTGTTCATCTAATCATGGTTGCTTAGGTTGTTTCTACCTTTTGAGCATTTTGAATGATGCGGCTATGAACACTGGTATACAAATATCTCTGACTCCCTGCTTTCAAACATTCTGGATATATACCTAGAGGAAGAATTTTTCAATCATATGGCAATTCTGTGTTTAACTTTTTGAGAAGCCACCATACTTCTTTTCATAGTAGCTGTACCATTTTACATTTCTGCCTGCGATGCACAAGCGTTTCAGATTCTCTACTTCCTCCCCAATACTTGTTATTTTCCTTCTCTTGGTAATAGTCATCCTAATGGGTGTAAAATGGTATCTTCTTGTGGTTTTGATTTGCATTTTCCTCATGACTAATGAGGTTAAGCAACTTTCACATGTTTGTTGGCCATCTGTGTATCATCTTTGTAGAAATATCTAAGTCCTTTGCCCATTTTTCAGGGACGTTTATTTTGCTATTCTTGAGTTACAGGAGTTCTTTATATCTTCTGGATTTAATCTCTCATCAAATATATGATTTGTAAATATTTTCTCTCATTCTGTGGGTTGCTTTTTACTCTCCTAATTGTGTCCCTGATGCATGAAAGTTTTTAATTTTGAAATCCAATTTATCTGTTTCTTCTTTTTGTTGCCCGTGCTTTTGGTATCATATCTAAGAAGTCATTGCCAAATACAATATCAAGACGATGTTGCCCTATGTTTTTTCCTAAGAGTTTTCTAGTTTTATCATAAGTCCTTGCATTAATGTTTGTATACATCATAATGTGTGAGTCCATCTTCATTCTTTTGTTTGTGGATACTCAGTTTTTTCTGAACCATTTGTTGAAAGACTGTCCTTTCCCCATTTTATGGTCATGATACCCTTTTTGAAAAACGAATTTTCCATATATGTGAAAGTTTATTTCAGAGCCTTCTATTTTATTTCATTGGTCTGTGTCTGCCATTCTGTTAGTACCATATTGTTTTTAGTTTTGAAATTGGGAAGTATGAAACCTTCAATTTTGTTTTTCTTTATTTTTTATTTTTATTTTTTTTGAGTTGGAGTCTCACTCTGTTGCCCAGACTGGAGTGCAGTGGCTGCTCCCGGCCACCACAGCCTCGAACTGCTGGGCTCCGGTGATACTTCCGCCTCAGCCTTCCAAGTAGCCAGGATTACAGGCACGCGCTACCACGCCCGGCTGATTTTTTGATTTATTGTAGAGATGAGGTCTCGCTGCCCAGGCAGGTCTCGAACCCGCGGGCTCAGGCAATCCACTCACCTCAGCCTCCCAAAGGCGTGGGATTACAGGCTGAGTCACCGAGCCTGGCTTGTTTTTCGTTTTAAAGATTGTTTGGCTATTTGAGGCCCCTTGAAATTCCATATGAAATTTAGGTTGAATTGTTTTATTTCTGTAAAACATGTTGTTGGGGTTTTGTTAGGGCTTACATTGAATGTATAGATTGACTTGAGTGGTATTTTCATATTACCAATATGAAGTCTTTCAATCCATGAATGTGGTATGTCTTTCCAATTGTTTTATGGTTTCAATTTCATCAGTGTTTTGTAGTTTTTAGTATATAAGGCTTGCCTCCTTGGTAAAGTTGATTTCTAAGTATTTTACTTTTTTTGATGCTACTGTAAATGGAATTTTTAAAAAAAATTTCTTTTCAAATTGTTCGTTGCTAGTGTATAAAGATACAACTGATTTTCATGCCTTGATTTTTATATCCTGTCACTTTGCCGTATTTGTTTATTACCTATTAATTGTTGTGTGTGTGTGTGTGTGTGTGTGTATAATCTTGGGGTTTTCTATAAAAGATCATGTCATTAAAAAAAGAGATCATTTTACTTTTTTCTTTTTAACTTGAATTCCTTTTATAATTCATGCTGTTTTAATGTGACCAAAATAGTGCTTCTTAATCTAGGAGTTCCACAGGGATCATAGGAATTAAAACTCTAGAATTTCATGTAGACATTTCAAGATGTCATCTTCAAACTGTGAGATGTTCTTTTCATATAGTTCTTTTATTTTGTTGTTAGGCCATCTCTTCCTTAAACTTTGGAAACAACTACATCTTCCTGTCTTCAGCTTCTTATCTTCTTCTCTCCATGTTGCATACAGCCAGTCATCTTTCTAAAACATCCTTCATTTTTTGCAGTTATGTGTTTTTTAAAAGCCTGATGCTTTTCCATTTCTTTCTTTCTTTCTTTTTTTTTGAGTCGGAGTCTCATTCTGTCACCCAGGCTGGAGTGCAGTGGCATGCTCACAGCTACTGCAGCCTCGACCTGCTAGATAGGTGATCCTTCTGCCTCAGCCTTCCAAGTAGCTGGAACCTTGCCCAGCTAATTTTTTGATTTATTGTAGAGACAAGGTCTTGCCGTGCTGCTGAGGCTGGTCTTGAACCCCTGAATCCAGGCAATTCTCTCGCCTCTGCCTCCCAAAATGCTGGGATTACAGGCGTGAGCCACTGCACCCAGCTGCTTTTCCATTTCTCTAAGATAAATTCCAAACTTCTTGGCACATTCAAGACCCTATGTGATCTAGCTTTAATCAGTTTCTCCGTCTCATCTTTCACGCCCACATCCAGTACCCTCTACTCGAGCCACAGTGGACTCTACATGCATGTCTGAACAAATCTTGTACTGTCATACTTTCTGTGCTTTAACTCACACAATTTCCTCTACCGACAATGTCTTCCTCCAATTTTTTTTTTCTGGTGAAAATCTATGCATTTTCCAAGGCGAGGCCCACCTGTCACTTCCTCTGTAAAGCTCTCCTTCACCTCCTAAAGCTTATTTATTGCTTCCTATTCTGTGCTTTTGTTGAGCTATCTTTATCTCTCAAACCTACACAGTTATCCTGGAGTATCAGAATTAATTGTACATATCCCAGCCTCCTTGGAAAATAGCAAGCTCCTTGGGCAAGAAAGGCTGTATGCTTTGTGTCTCCAATGTCCAGCTCATACATAAATGTTTCCAGGACAAAGTTGTATTTGAACATTTGTTTTTCCTGGCTGCTTTAAGAGCATGTTTTATGTCTTGTAAGTACAGATTCGGTCCTTACCTTTTTTTGCATCTGGGCATCAAATGGCGGTTTATCAGAAGTAAATACAACCCTCCTACTTCCTTCTCCCTGATTTTGTGAATCAAGCACCAGATTTCCATTGCATCTTAAAAACAAAGGATTATGAGTGTGAAAGCCCTACCTGGTTTACTTTTGTGAGAAAGCATCCGAGACATTACCATTTATAATAATAAATGTGTCATAGGCTAGCCAACAGTGTGTCCTGGGACTATGAGGTAATCAAAAGAACTAAGTCTATGAATTTCAGTGTGCCTTTTGGCATCTGTTATCCCCAAATCCTAAGGACTAATATAGTAAATCATGGGCATAAAGGATCATAAGGAATAAATACAGTAAACCAGCGCTGATGTGATTCAAACCCAATTCAGGAGGAAAACAAAGACCCAGTTGTTCATAGTGAGTTCTTCCGTATCAGAGCCAATGTATACTGTCCTGATTAATAACTTCTGAGTCAAGGCAGGGGTTTGAAGACTTTGTCCATTCCGAGAAACAAGACTATAGGAAAACCTCACACACTTAGACTTCAAGGAGATAGGCTTGTCTCATTTAGGATTAGTGTAAGTTGAGTATTATCAGGCATTTGGAATAGCTGTGAAGAAAGCATTAATAAGTATTGGTGCAGGGCACAGTGGCTCACACCTATAATCCCAGCACTTTGGAAGGTAGAGGCAAGATGATTGCCAGAACCCACAGGTTTGAGACCAGCCTCAACAACATGGCCAGCAACATGACCAGCCTCAGCAACATCGTCTCTACAATAAATCAAAAAACTAACTGGGCATGGTGGCAGGCGTCTGTAGTTCCAGCTACTTGGAAGACTGAAGTGGAAGGATCACTTGAGCCCAGCTGGTCGAGGCTGCAGTGGCCATGAGTGTGCCACTGCACTCCAGCCTGGGCAACAGAATGAGACTCCAACTAAAAAATAATAATAGTAATAAGTATTGATTTTTGGGTCTCTTTCTGAAATCAAGTGATCCTTCAGAACCATTTCCTAGGTATAAATCGTAAGAATTAATTAAGTGGGTTCTTGTTAAGAGTTGGGACATTTCAATTTCTTCGGCATTTTGTTTGTTCATTTGGGAGTCATTTATGGAACTTTCACTATGTAGCAGACCTTGTACTAGATGTTTGGGTTACAAAGGTGAAGGAGAGAGACAAGCCTTGTTTCAATGGAGTTGACATTTTAGTGCAGAGGTTAAAATCACACCCACATGTGTACATGCAGATTCAGGATGCCATGTGCATATTTACATTATTAACATCTTACCAAACTGTTTCTTCTATGATGGCTCAAAAATCAATTCAGATAGTCTTCGTTAGACCAAAAACCAGAAATAACCATATGCTTCCTTCTTTTAAAGCCAGTCTTTCTGAAGCTCT